GATTCTGATTGGTCAATCACATGATTTCATATGAATACCACATGATTACTATTAAAAATGATCTATGAACACCCTACCTTTAATTATACAATGAGCCCGATTTTCAAATTAGATGGCTTGGTCTATGGTACAATTAATTTGGCACTAAATACCACTCAAAAAGTTTTGCATACTGGAAGACTAAAAATGCTTAGTAAGAACCTATATTTGAAATTTAATATAAAAAATTTTTTGTCATTCTTATATTATCAAATTATAATGTTAAATTTTGCTAAATATGATATTTTAATACTATCACAAAAATTTAAGATTTCCACATAGAAATACTGTATATTTATAAAATTAAATTATGTTAATAAAATGCTTATATTTGCAAAAGTTTGTATTTTAATAGTATATTATTAGCATTGCTAAATTGTTTATTTTTAGCAAGTTCAATTTAGACAGATATTTATAAATAATTTGTCCAAGTAAAATATATTCAGCACCTAAAAAATTATATAACCATATACGATCAATTACACCAAAAAAGATCGTAAAATTAATCCATTATAATAGCTTTAAAAAAATATAACATCTTTATAAGTGACTCTTTGTAAGTGCACACTTGTTCAAATACATACAATTGCCTGGTTTCATGCTCAGAACTTGAATTTAAATCACTAGCCTATCTATCATTAAATTATGAACCCACTTACTTTTGAAATCATAAACCTACATCTTATGTATTGAAATTATTAACTCTATTAAAATTACGAGTTTACTATTTATAATTAAGATTGCTACTTTTCATTTTTAAAATCTTAAGCTTTTTCTATTGTTGAATTAAGAATCCACTTGCAAACTCACTCTCAATTTAAATCACGAACCATCCATTGTTGAAATCACAAACTTTCTTTTTTAAAGTTAAAAAACGATAACGATTACTGAGTGATACAAATTTTCAAAAGCAAGCTAAAAAATGTACTATAATTTATTTATTTATTACTAATAAAGGATACCGTATAATGCGAAGTAATGCGCAGAGGTGTAATTGCACTTTACGGTCTAAATTCGTGCCAACCTTCAAAATGATGCATCTGGGCGTTATTTCGCGGTTATACAGTATATTATAAAGTAACAATTAAAAAAGAAGCCTTCTTTTCAGAAAAGGTTCTTTATTTTCTCATCTTAATCAAGGCATTCTATGAATACAAATTTTATTATGTTCACATATCTTACATGTTACACGCTGTACAATGCGAATTCCTCGAGGATCGCCACCCCATTCCTCAAATAATACTACACAATTTTTATGGTCTCCATCTCGCTTTATCCATTCTAAAGGAATATGATAATACTGTTGCGATGGCATTTCATATCCTACTCGACACTTTGTATGTGGATTATACCACCCAGCATAGTCTTGATCATTCCGTGCACGTGGATCTGTGGGACGTGTAGCAAGTTCTAGCCAATATCGTCCAAGATGTCGGCCATTAACCCACACGTTACCCTTTGTCATCGATGTAAGATCGAGCGCAATTGGAGGAAGTGTATCTTCGGTATGAGTAATATCATAATATTCTTTAGGTAAAGTAAAGTGGAAGGTGTACCACACGAGACCCGCCTGAACAGGTAATTGCGTGGTTAAGTTGGTATATTTTTTTTGCATATTTAATAAAGTGCGTTGACAAAATATATCCTGATCTGTAATTGTGGACGAAGATTCACTACTCAATTTTTTCCATGGAAGGGTACAATGTGTAGAAGGATCAAAATAGCATTTTTTTTCATCAACAAGCCCAATGTTGACCTGCCAGCCTATATGAGTATGAGTAATGTTTTTATCGTTTAAATACACATCTCCTAGGAGTCCTTGTTCGTATCTTTTCATGAAAGTCATAATATGTGGTAATCCCATCAGGCAATTTAAGATTTGTAATGTAAATACGTGTTGCTTGCTACTGTTTATATCAGAGATATCATTATTTACTTTACTCGTACAATCAAGGTTCAATGGTATATCTACTTGATTTCCACCTCTATGTACTGATTGCACTTTTCCGTCCGCATAAACAACACCAACATCACCAATCTTATGTAACCTAAGATTAAATTTAGCGGATGTTTGATTCCCCTCGTTTTCATCATTCTTGATTACTAATTGCGTCACGTACCACATATAATCGGTAGTATCTTGGGTTGCAATTTGTGGTGGAGGACGTGGTGTTCTTTTGTCAAATGCATCCGTAAAGAGTGGAATAGGTTCTAATAGCCAAGCAAACGATTCAAAATCAATAACACTTGCAGGAAGTGGTCTAAAAACTAATCGATCAGGAGACTCTTTTGGCGGTTCAATGATTGCTGTATTCATCAAAAGTGTGAACGAACAATTGTCACCCAATATTATGCTAATTGACCATTTAGAGTTATACCACCCAAGCAAAAAGTAAACATGGCTCGTGAAGATGATGTGAGTAGGGTTAGTATTACATAAATTACATTTTTACGTTGCATGAAATAACTTTATATTGAATAGTGCATTGTCACATGATAACTGCACCAACGTTACAAAAGTTTTACCAAGATTAATAATTATCCATCATTATGTTCGGAACTGTAATTTTATACTTATTTTTTTGCAAGATTTATAAAAGTTTTGACGAAACTTATTCACATGATCAAAAATTACATGTAATTTTGATTTCTGAAACTTTCGCAAATTTACGCAAATACTTAAAATTACGGTAATAGATTTCTTTATAATTTTGGATGCTTTTATAAAAAATCAAATAACTCACTAAATGAACACGACGAATATTTTATGGAATCAAATGCAAAACATCAGTGCATAGTAAAAATTAAAGTACAAATTAATCGTGCTCATCACACGGAAATCCGTAAAATTCCATTATTTTTTAAAAAATTTCCATCTTAAAAGTTAGAATTCCAAAAATTCCTTGTCAATTCCGATTCTCTTGTATATCATCCATTAGTATACTATATCTTGAAATGGTCGGATCAAAGAATACTAAAATTTTTTGGTTTTCTTTACTAAATTTTCTCAAACTTCAAGTGAATCTATCTTGATAATAGCTGGTCGTTTTCGATATTCAAAGCCATTTTCAAATTCTGAAGGCTTGTAGGATTCGAAAATGGTCTTAAACATTGAAATTGACTGGGCTATTGTTGAGAAATCTTCAATCAAACTTTTAAAAATATTTAATATTAGAATTTTATATGTAATATACGCAATACATTTGGCTGGTATAATTTTCAGCCAATCGCATTTTACTAAAATCCTGATTCCCAGATTTCCCGTGATGTGTGATGCATGAATTTTGCTGATCACAGTAAGTAAAATAAGATTGATTGTCTCCCACAAATTTCTTCATTATTGTAACTCCCATAAATTTTTCAAAACTATCGTTTAAATTAATCCATTCACTTAATCCATAATACTAATAATCTCTTTTATGTCCGACCCAAACAAAATATCTTAAACTTAGTAAAATAAAAATTTAGATCATAAGTAAAACTATAATTTCAAAAAAAAAATAAATAAATAAATAAAGATATATCGATAATCACAATTGACATGCCCAAAAATTCCTCAAAAATGCTTTGCTTTGTAAAAAAAAAAATTAATGTAACTGGCCTTCACTAATATTTGTTAGTTAATATAACTGTTGATTTTATTTTCGATCGTTATTAAAAGAATAATTAAATCTATATTCTGTACCCAAAATAAAAAAAATACCGCAGAACATTGCATCTTAAAACTTTTTTTACGTGTTATTCCTTGAAAGCTATCGGTTTTACAATCGAAAGAAAAGTAGTCATATATTAGCGTATCTTGAGTATTTCCTAATTTATGATATGTAATTTAGTCGAATCAACTTTCTAACGAATGTTGAAATTTTGATCAGATAAAAGATGCTGTAAAAATTAGAGAATTTATTTTTAAACTTGGTAATTGTCAAGAAAGCACATGAAAATTAAAATACCCAAAATGCGACATATTGACACAGATCTTACTTATGGTTAGATAGAGTAAGATATTTGTAATAATTGAGTAAAAATTATGAAAAAAAGAATTATAATCCTATTTAGACATGGAATATATGGTAGAATAATTCAGAACTACTTATCTCGAAAATAAGTGGAAGTTTAAAAATTTTTTATTTCGCTTTCAAAATTCTGAAACATAAAATGAAATAGGATTATTTTTTTTAAAAAAAAATAAATCTATAGATAACTTATTTCGAAACAAATATGCCATTAATTCTGAAGTATAGTGCAAAAATCTGTTACATATACAACCCAGAAAATTATTCCGGAACTGATTAAAAATTTTATTAAAATTCAACATCACAAAAAAAATTACTATAGAAATTAAAAAAAAAGGTTACAAAAAAACCCAAAATAATCAAATAGAAAACCACAACAGAAGCCAAAAAAATCGATAAAAAAAAAAAAAATCAAAAATTACCAAAAAAAAAACTCAAGAATCACCGCAAAAACTGCCAAAATCACCAGTAAATCTATTAGAAAAATTATACAAGAAATTAAAAAAAAATCGTCAGAAGAGCCACAAAAGAAATCAGTGAATCTAGAACTATAAGTTAAAAAATCGCCAGAAAAATCACAAGTCAAATCGTGTAAGAATCATAAAAAAGCAGTCAAAAATCATCGAAAGAATCATCAATAAAGAAATAAAATAAAATAAAATTTAAAAAAAAATACATACCAATAGAGCCAAAAATCATCACCAGAAGAATCACAAAGGATTGCTAAAAAAAACCACAAGACAAGGAATAACCGAAAGATCCACAATAGATGTCAAAAAAATTGCCAGAAGAACAATTGGTTAAGAAATAAACCGAAAAGGAAAGAAACATACGTACCAGAAGAGCCAACAAAACATCGCCAAAAACTGTAAAAGAAGTCAAAGAATGACCGGAAGAACCACAAAAGAATTTAAAGA